TTGGGTTGGGTTGGGTGGGGTTGGGCTCTTCATTTGGTATTCGGCACTTAGGGTTGACTTCCTCCTTGGAAATGTACTACCCTCTCTCCCATTCAGGTTTTCCAAGGGGTGACATTGGGACCTGCCTATGGGGTCAGATTTCTTCCTCCTAACACAGAGACAGCTTGGGAAGGGAGCTTGCCAGCCTTTGCATCTTGACTCCAGGTCCCTTTAGCTGAATGACACGTTTTCTCTTTTCTTTTTTTCCAGTGACACTACCTGAGAAGCCTGTTAAACTAGCTTCACATACCAGAGACACTACAGGTGTATCTCAGATGTTCCCTTCTTCAAAGGCTAGAACAAAGTAAGGGCAGGGTCGGCCTGGGTATCCATGGACCTACTTCAGTCTAAATGCTCTTTGCCCCTCCACCCCCCACTTTCTACTTCACACTTGCTCGCCATTTTTTTTTTTTTTTAAGAGAGTCTCTGTCGCCCAGGCTGGAGTGCAGAGGCACAATCTCAGCTCACTGCAACCTCCGCCACCCCGGTTCAAGCAATTCTCCTGTCTCAGCCTCCCGAGTAGCTGGGACTACAGGTGCCCACCACCACACCCAGCTAATTTTTATATTTTTCATAGAGATGAGGTTTCACTATATTGGTCAAGCTGGTCTCAAACTGACCTCAGGTGATCCGCCCACCTCGGCCTCCCAAAGTGCTGGGATTACAGGCGTCAGCCCCTGCGCCCAGCCTATTGTTTTTAACAATTTGTTTTTAAGCAGTTCTACTGCTAACAAAGTTGGAAATCACTGCATCAGCAGGCTTGTGATATTCTTTTTAGCACCTCTGTTCTCCAGAGAAATCTATCTGAGATTCCTTGGGCTTTCTAAGCCACTCTTCCCCTTTTTAGAGTCATCCAGTGCCCTTGGATGCATGTAGGGGCTATGCCTCCCCTTTGCAGGTCCCTCCTGGGTGATGATGTCTTCAGCACCATCGCAGGCCTGGAAGAAGCTGATGCTGAGGTAAGCCTGGCCATTTCCTACTCCTCCACCTCTCTGCTTATCCCAGAAACAATGAGATGGGTGTTGTTGCCAAGGGGCTGCCCACAGAAGGGTTTAGAAGTCCCTGCAAAGTCACTTTGTTCTTTCTTTCTTTCTTTTTATTTTTTTTTT